AAGGCACTTTAAAAATAAATAGCATTACTGGAACACTGTGAAATGACAGCAAAGACCTATTGCTTTAATTTAATTTAAAAATTGTAGCCTTTAGACAAGTGATAAACAGAAATCTCTAACGCTATAAATCACTGCAACAGTTCTCACATCCCCCCTGGGAAAACAAAGGAAAAAGAGCCATCTTCACCAAATCACTCACAAAGGGATTGTCATCCTGCAAAGCCTGAGCCACCAGCTTCCTTTTCAGCCCTCTCCAGGCTTCCCCTCTCCTCGGTGCGGACCAACCCTCGGGAACCCGCTGGCCAAAGCACTGCTCCTGCTAGTCACCCAGTGGGTGGGCGTCCTGCCCAGCCTGGAGGAGGGCAGGAGTGGGGTGCAGTGCTGGGGGACCCTGAGGGCCCCTGTGATTTCTCCATAGCTGCACGCCTTTCGGGCACCCTCTGGATGGGATCAGGGGGTGCAAATGGGATTCAACCACCTAACAGCAGTCCAGAGATACCTGTTCATAGGGGTCTCCCATCTGCAGCCAGATCTATCAGTTATAACCCAGATGACAACTGTTAAAGGTCCTTTCTTACGTTTTTTTGGTGTTAATTTGGCAAATATATATGCTGAGTTCCATACAAAAGCAAACAAAATTAGTTTTGAATATTAAAGCTCTGTCATACATGGTAAGCCTCCATATTCCAAGCACACAAAAAATCACTCCCTGACATTACCCTACAATTTGATGGGGTGAAATAGGGCTAAACTAGTCTAACGCCTAGCTACTGCTGTATTTGTGCAGGGTATTCTGAGGACTCACTCCAAACAAATACATTCAGCCACTATAGACCCTGAAAAAATGAAAGCTGTTCTGCTCCTAGTTATTAATTATTCCAAATCTTCCTTGTTAAGGGTCTCAGTCTGGTGGTGTTCCTGGCCAATATATGCTTGTGATAACAAACCGCCACAATTCCATTGACAGATCTGATGTAAATCTCTGTACAAAGTGAACTCAGTAAGAGCTTGTCATGAATGCTCATCTAACTTCTAGTTAATTGTATCAAAATCTAATTTTATATCATAGATGCTGTGTTGTGATTCAAGGAAAAATTCGTTTGTTTGACTAAGACCTCTGGGAGACCAGGATATCATCTGATAGAGCAGAATCAAGGCAGCAAAAAAAAAAAAGGGAAAATGCTGTTGTTTTTTTTTGTTCTGTTTTGGTTTTTTACACACTTGGAGATGTCTGCCCAATTTGAGGTGGAATTTGGAAACACGGCTGCTTGGTTCATTTTTGTACCGTATTATTAGCAGTTGGGCTGTTTAGATGATTAGATGAGTTGTTACTTATTACAAGATTTAAATTTATAAATGATAATGGCAACCTGACACTGAAGCAGTCAAACCAAAGACTAGCATTAATAATCAGATTATAGGAAATGGCAAATGAAAAACTAATCTCTGAAACATTTTCCTCTATCTGTATTTTCAGAAACATGAATTGCTATGTACTGCAATTATGGCCATACTGAAGATTACTACACAATCATATTGCAGCATTGAAGAGAGTAATTTTGGGGTTAATATTCACTCTTGAGTTTTATGGAACAAACAGGCTTCCATATGTCTCTGGAGCAATATGTTTCAATCGCCATCTGTTGCTCAAGAGTAGTTTCATAGAAAAATAATGCAAATTACTTCCCTCTTTAATTACACTAGTGCTTTGCAATATTGCATGCTGTTCTGATTTGGAAAAGTGCCAGTTCGCCAGATTCAAGGGACAGATGTTTACTTAACCATGAACTTTAAAAACAAGATATAAGAACTAAAAGTTACATTTTTTGATTTTCTAGAAGATGGAAAAACTGTAATTGTACAATTGTATACCTTGCAATATGTTAGTAAAACTTTGAGGAGTACTATCAAAGCCATTAAGGCTCAATAACCAAGCTGCTACCTGTTCCATGAAAATACTTCGAAGCCCAGTCTTTGTTATCACACTAAATTAGAACTGGCAACATTTGTTTTATACTGCATTACAGTCAAATAGATCAACTACAATTAAACATTTCATTTTTTTTCTGACATGGGAGAACCACTGAGGGGAACACTGAACATGTAGGAAATGGAAAATGTTTGATACTATGGTTTACCTTTTGTTGCTATATAAAAGCAGATAGCACTGTAACAGTGTGATGCTGATTTTTACATTTCAAAAAAGCGGTATTTTAAAACCCTTTACAACCCCTAAATGGCTGCCCTAACAGTTTTGCCTGAATACCACAGTTGAAGCTCATGCAATAAACTGATGTTGAGTTCCAACCAAGATAGGGCAGAGTTCCATTAGTCACTAAGGTGTATGTAAAGTGTATCTGTTAAAGCACTCAGCTTAAGAAAGGCACCAATACAAATAGCAAAATGCAATTACTTCCTCTATTCATACGCAATAAACAATCTTTACATATGCATTAAATAACTCAGAAAATACTTGTAACTAATCTACCAACACCTACATTTTAAAGAAAAAAATAGATTTCATTCCCACTCTCATTTTTACTTTCTCAAATGATAGACATCATAACTTCTAGCTTTCAAAAATCCTTTTTTTCCCCCTTAGTTCAAAGGTGAGACTGGTTAAGTAAAAAAACTGTGAAAATCGGTCTTTAATCAAACTCTTCTGTTCAATGCATACAAAATTGTAGGAAATTCTACATCTTAATTGTTTAAGTACAAGGTTTCAAAAAAACCAATAGAGTTTAGAACATGGTAGAACAGGATCCTGTTGTTTTGGCACTAATTGGAATCTACAGGTCCAAGTCCTATAAAAGCTAATCTTATGAGGCAGTCTTGCCCTGAGTGCCACCTAACCACAAATCATTAACATGAGCTTTGCTCCTTAGCTTTTGGACTCTGCTAACTAATATTTTTTATGTATATCTTTAATAACTCTGGTTTTGGCAGATGCCTCTGCAATTTATTACTGTCTGATGACCATCATGTGATACTCCTTTAAAAAAAGTCATTTAATCCCCAGTTCCAGGAAATACATCTTTCACTGCAGGTAGATACTTCTGTGCTCATTCTATACTTTGTCTTAATGCACGATATGATGCTACGTCCTGCTTTTAAGTCCTGGTTTTAGGAAGATCAATGCATAGGTTTGATTTTTTTTGGTCTTTACAAAGAACATTACTCTCCTTTACTCTAGTGATCTAAATGTATGAATTTTCCATGTGTATGTGCTACAGAACTTTATATAGAAGAGGTTAAATCAAGTAATTATAAAAAAAATAAGTACTTAAAGTAAGTACAGTTCAATTCCAGAAAGGAAAAACACTGTAAGACACTTATTTGTAAGTTCCATTAATTTCAAGGTTTGCTATTACACTAGTGCTAAAAGCGTACCTTCTTCAAGTTCCAGTGCTAATCTAAACTATCTCCGCATAAGCACATCTAAACCAAATGACTACATGCCATGGTTGACACCATTAATTTATAATCAATTTCAATTATAATACTTAATTCTGTAGTACAGGCAAAACCAAAGGCAGACTATGTTCCAGATCAAACACACCACTTGAAGTGAGGCTATTTATTTTAAGCGCAGCTTAGAGCTGGTTAGTGTATGGAAACCTAAACGTTCTTGATGACAGCACTACAGAGACACCCTTCCACATTTTAGTATTCTACACAAACCACTATAAACATTATTGCGATGACCTTGGTTTGTTTTTTTTAAATCAGTCCATACTCACTTCCTCAGTGACCACAGTCAGTTTAAACGAGGTTTTGTAGTAACACCTCTCCCCCCCGCCCCAAGCCTGTATTCTCATGACATCAGACAGCAAATCCTAAGGACCCACCCAAACTCAGCTGCAGGAGGCCACAAATGGAGCAGGACAGAGCAGCACTGGGTGTCAATGGGCACTCTGCCGCTACCTTCCTCCTGGCAGGGAGGGCTTGCTGGCTGCACCAGCCCAGCAGGAGACCACCACAAGGCATGGCATCGGAGACACGGATTCAGCTTTTAAACAGCAAGAGACTGCCACTCGCAATGCAGGGAAAAAACCTAACTGTCATTATGTTGTGTTTAAACATCTTCAGATCAGCTTTTGGAAGTTTTCTGTTGTCATTCTAGCAGACAGATAATGTTTCTTGTTCTTTTCTCTAAAATGAGATCGAAGTCTGCTTGCTGGGAGAAGGCTGGAAAGGGGAAGTCATTCTCTTAGACCTGAATCTCTCTCTGTCTCTGTTGGCCACACCACTGTGGTACAGATTGCGTTTCTCTCCTCGTTAACTCGCAACTTAAATTCAGTGCTGCATTTCTGTTTTCTAAAGAGTATACTTCAAAAAGAGCTTCAATCATAAGATTGAAGGTAATGCATTAGAACTGACTCATTCAGGAGGTCACTGAACTACAAGCAGTTATGAAAAGGAAATGAATCTCCAAGTAAAACCAAAATAGAGAACCAAACAGAGGAATGTGTCCAAAACACATCCTGTTTTCAGATCATCCTGTGTGCCCCTCCTTCCACAGAAACCAATTTTTAATGTAAACTGTGACTGTAAATTCTTCCTCAAGCACCAGAGGCTCCTTGCAGGAAAGACATTTAAGAAGGGAAGGCTAGGTGAAGGAGGGCAGCACTTTAGAAGTTCTGGGGTTTTTGTTGGTGGTGCTTTATATATTGTGAAAGCATTAAACAAAGAAAAGCATAATTCTTCAGATTCTGAATCAACAGGCTTATTCTCCCCTTTCCCTTCCGCTTGCAGATAAATAACATACATTTCAAAAAGACTGAAAGGTAGTAGGAACAGCTAAGACTCAAGAACTGACTCTGTGCTGGTAACTGGTTTATGTTCCTAGCTTCACAGGACAACATGCAGAGGAAAGTCTGAGTCAGAGCCTTTCACATTAAATTCCCCGTGATATAACACGAAATACTTCCAAAATACCTCTACGTGTGTGTCATCACCACTCCAGCGCATAAGGAAAAAAATGCTAATGTGGCATCACAATGGTACAAGGCAATGGTTGTGATGGTGAGAAGAGGAAAACCAACACAATGGCTTGGAGCACTACAACACATGGGTCTATTCTTGCAGAATGGTGTGGGAAGAAAGTATTTTGAAAGTTGTGTACAGTGTCAGCACTGGAAAGGCCATCCCAGCTTTGAGAATATTGTTCTCAGAAAGATATGCCTCTATAAAACTTCCATCTTCACTTGCACTCATTGCAAACTTTTAAAATAATTTTTGCTAAATGCACCAGTTCTCTCTTCAAAAAGGATGTGGCTGAACACGTTGCCTGTTGCATGTCTTGGGAGACTTTTCATGCTAAGTAATTTTCATAAGGTCTATTTGTGCCACTTACTGGACTTCCAGTGAATTACACTTTTAAATGTCTTGGGCTTGATTAAATTAAATCCAAGAGTCTTTACAGATTATATTAATGATTATTTTTGCTGACTTATTGAAAAAAAACCCCACTCAACCTCTTACTAAAAAAATTAACGAAAAATGTTTTTTTTCATTCCCACTATCTGCAATATTTTTATTTCTCATAGGTTCTCTAAATTGTTTTGAACACATAAATGACAACTAACAGAAAATCTTCAGCATTTTTCTTTTTGACTGGGGTGGGAAACTGCAAAAGAACAGGCACGTAGGTACAACTTCATGCAATGCGTCATTTAGTGTGAAATGACATATGAGCAACAACTTAGTGAGCATCTCATATAAAAGCAGATGGGACTTCTAGATTCCATTTATTACCTGAAAATACCCGTGTCATGTATTAATCTGTTGGTGCGAAAAACGAGCAGATGTTTTGAAGAGAGACCTGCACTCACATGAAGACTCTGTCTTTCCCTCTGCTTAATCACTTTTCCAACGCCAGCGAGAGCGAGCAGCGGTCCT